CGGATGAGGTAACAAGGATGAAGGCAGGAGCTCAAGGAAGAAGATGAGATTGCAAAGAGGGTGATAGTTCGCGTAAAAACCAGAGTAGAGACCAAGGAAAGGTTAAAGGGAAATCGTCTAGGGAGTTGGAAGCGACAGAAGAGAAATGAAATTAATGTAACTTGTACTGAAAGGCAACAGACTGACGAGACAACGACGTAAAGTGGAAAAGAGACCTAAAATCCCTTTTAAACCTAAAACCTCAAAAAACCCTAAACCCTAAGTTCTGTGGGCCTCCAAATACTAAGGCGGGAATGTTGAAAGAATATAAACAAACTATTCATATTCTTCCAAGGGGGCATTTTGTTAGTATCGAGAAATATGATCGAGGAATAAATTGAAAAGGAACTTTTTCGATGTCCGATTATAAAGAACGTGACACATAAAATCGAAAGGTAGAATCGGAAGAGTAGGAGTAATAGTCGAAAGCTTAACATGGAATAAACCAAAGAATTTGAGGTATATGACGTTAAGGTTAAAATGAATCGATACCAGGTACGCAAAGTTCTCGATAAAATCGAAATCGAAGAGAAGGCTCGTTTTTCATAAATATTGTAACCGTGGCTAAACCTTGAAAGGAAGTAGTCAAAACGCACGTATAAAGAGCAGTTTTGAAATCATGGGAAAAAGTCGGAGATCGTGAGAACGTGGGAAACTATAGAAGATAAACTGCCATACGCACGTAGAACGTGGTAGCATTCGGGTTAACTGCTCTTGGAAGGCTTGAAGGATGCCCTATAAATAGAGCAAAGGAGGAAGGAAATAAGGGGAAGCAGAAATTGGCAGAGATCGGAATCAGTAGTGAAAAGTCTACCGGAGAAACGACGAACACCATGAAGTTTCTAGCAATCTGGATTTCCATGCTCACCGAGTACATTTACCGCTTTCTGTATTTTCCTTGGTAATTTATTTTGATGCAACTTAAATTCAGCAGTTTTATGTTTCTGTATTTTCGATTCCTTGTCCATTTCAATTCAATGAAAATTTAAGTTTATGCATTTAAGTTTCCATGTTACTTTTCTAATCGATTTCTTGTCATTTATATTTCTTCGATTTTCTGTCATTTACATTTCTTGCAATCTGATTTTTGTCATTTATATTTGCTGTTTTCGATTCCTCGTCATTTACAATTAATGCAAATTTGGGATTTTCGCACTTTATATTTTCTTGCAATTTAATGTTCGTGTCTTGATTCGATACTTTACTGCTTTCGATACTTTAAATACAAAATACCAAAAACAACATTTTCTTAATATCTTGTGATTTTCGATCCTCATACACGTTTTCGATTGAAAGTCGATCAGCTAGCCTAAGTAAAAAGAACTTACGTGGGAGAATTTCGATTAGGATCATAACATCTGTTTAGAATCGAAATCGATCGAAATTCCACCGTAAACAATAAGATATAAAATATATTTTATATATATAATTTATTTTCTTTACTTAATTAATTATCTTTCTTTATAAACGATTTCAAATATAATTGTTTTAAATACATAGATATTATACTCTTATTATCAAAACCTTACACAATTTCACGGGAGAACTTTGAATTTTCTCTACCAAAAAAAGTTTATTAATTTTCTTACATAATTTTTATTTCCTTGTTATAAAGCTTAATAATTTTTATAAAATAACGTATACAAAATGTTATTTTTTGTTTACCTGTACATGTGTAATTTTGTAACCTTGTTATTGTTATAGACATGACCCAAAAAGGTTTTTTCTTAGCCGAGGATGTTGGGATTTTTGTATACATAATTCCTGATTTTATTTATCTTAATGGATATGGGCTAAGATAAAAGAGGTGGCCCAACACAATAGCTTCAATGAAATAATAGAATTATGAGATGTGACGTTTATTTTATTTCTTTTTTAAAGTAACGAGGGGAAATTGATATAAGTGTCCTGTATTCTTAAAAATAATTTTGATGATGAGTTCAAGTTAATACCAAGATGAATTGAATTAAGGACATAAATTAAAGATAAACTGAATTAAAGACGTTGGTGATAATGTGAAACATTTCCCTAAATTTCCAAGATGTGATTTTGATAAAGATGATGATTCAAACAAACTCAAGATGATACCTGAAGACGAGATAGAGTCTTAGAATACTCGATAAGGTACAAGTTGATGAAGTGATATTATGTATAAGTCTCCAAAACACAAGTGTGATAAAATTTCGTATCATGACATTTTTAACTGTCATAATTAATTATGATGCATCAGAAATGAAAAAACGATTTTCTTTGTCATAATTGATTATACTGGTAACATAATCGATTATGGCAGTTCAAATTTGAAAAAGATCCGTTTTGAAGAATAAATGTTTCTAAATACATCTTGATTTTTTATCTATGAAAATATTAATGTCCAACGACCATTTTCTGATGATATATTTTTATTTAATTAAGTTTTGATGGAAAATAAAAAATACACAATTACAGAATTCGAAAATACAATTTACATTCAATCAATTTTGAGAAAAAATTTATGAGCAAGACAAAAGAGATATTTTACATGTTATGAGAAAACCCTTTTATTTACTGTCTTATGTGCTTTCATTGTTAATCACATTTGTCCTTAAAAGTTGACATTCTACAGGCTTCTACAATTTGTTGTCTTCATTATCAGGTGTGACTGTTCTAATTTTATTGTCTTTATCCTTTTGTGGGTTTAGGAGGTTTAAGTTAATCAATGTTATTTTAGGGTTTCCTGTGTGGAAACTGTTTATTCCTTTGATTTGTTCAGAGGAGATGTTCATCTCTAGTGAGATTCTAGGGAGGTGTTCATCCTTAGTGAGATTATAAGGAGGTGTTTTCATCCTTTGATTTGTTCAGAGGAGGTGTTCATCCCTAGTGAGATTATAGGGAGGTGTTCATCCTTAGTAGGTTTCTAAGGAGATGATTGTCTTTTTAATTAGTTTACTTTTTACTGGTTCCTCTGCTGAGTTGATTGTAATTTGTAAATTGAATTTCAAAGATAGTGGATATAGGGTTGGCTATACCCGAACTAGTATAAATTACTGTGTGCTCTTATCTTCCCCTTTATCACTCTACTTTTTTAAATCACTTCTCTTATATCTTCTTGATCATATTATCGCTTCAGCTTTAAAATCAAATATTTATCTATTAATTTATATTAATTTTTATTTTAAATATAATGATCTAATATATAAATTATAAGAAAAATAATTATTTATTCTCAAATTAAAAATTTACTTTTTATTATAATAATAATATTTTATTTGTTAGTATTTTAGTAATATAGGTATTATTTTTTATCTAAAAAAACTTAAAAAATTCCACGGTAATGAAATTAATAAAATTATCCAGGACAATATATACGAAAGTTATTGATAATTTAAATTATATTTTTTAATTATTTTAAAATACGTGTTAAAAAATTATTATTAATATTTAATTTTAAGATTAATACTTTTTTATTAAATTATTTTTTAGTATTTTTTTAATAATATAATTTTATTTTTATTTAAAAAATAATTATTATTTTATAAAACATTTCCGTCCATAATTTTATAAACTATGTGACTTATATCTATTCAGTTATCACCTGTCAAAATATATTATAATTTAATTTATATATAACAAATTTAATTTTCTTTTACCTTTGGGAAATATTTTATGTTTTAATACTTAATTTTCTTTATCTATTATATCTTTCAACTTACTTTTCTATCATTACTTTAAAATAAGAAAATAGTAAATGAGTAAAATTAACTTGATACTGATTATATTATATGAATAATCTATATATTAAAATATTAATTTATTCTAAGTTTCAATTAAATTTTGATTTGAAGTAATCAGTTATGTTTATGGGTCTATTTGTTTGTTTTTTAAAAAATGTTATTAAAAAATTAATATGTTTTAAAATAAATATCATATAAAATTTTGTCTTTAAATATTCAATTGACATTTAAATTAGAGTTAAGCTGATGTCTAATAAAATAATAGTATATCAAACTTAAAATAAATTTATCATAACATAATAACAATTTTAATATAATATAAATATTATTTAAAAAAATATTATATAATAATAAGAATGATTTGTAGAAGATAGATGAAAAATAACATAAATAGACATATTATCAAACACTTGAAATATAAATATAATTTAAAAAAAATTTGTCTTTATATCTAACTTAGAAATAATTAAAAAAAATTATACCTAACTTAAAAATAATTAAAAATAATTATATATAACTTTAAATTTTATATATTTTATTTTATTTTAAGGTACTTAACCACTACTACTCGTTAATATCAATTAATATTAATTTTATTTATAGTATGTAATTTTAGTAATTATCACAATTTTAGAAAATTTTAATTTTAAAAAACTATAATTTTAGAAAATCTTAACTTTAATCTCATGAAATAATACGCAGTGAAAATTCTTAAAAAAATATTATTCTTTTCTAATATAAAAAATTGTTTTATAAACTTAATTAAAAAAAAGTTATAATTCTTATATATATTATTGTGTTTTGATGAATAATTGTACGATAATAATAGAACACAGATAGATAATCAAAGCTATGCAAGAGAATATTACAGTGAAAAAGAATAGCATGAGTAAAAAATAAAGTTATCTTAGTTTAACTCTTTTAAAAAATAAAATAAAATCGGATAATCTCTTAACCGGTAGGTCTGAAGTATCCTATTTTTTACCAAATAATTTTTCGATAGGTTTTTTAATAGCTCCGGATATCCAATCGAATATATCGGCTGTTCCGGTTCCATTTCTATAACAATTTTTTTTTTCAATTCCGCGCCTTTATCTCCCTTATTGTTTTTTTTTTTAAATGAAAGTAAAAAAAAAAATTCAAATTTAAATAATTTTAACATTATTGTTCTGAACCTCTCTAGCTCTCTCAACTTCTTAGTCTCCTCCATTTTCATTCCAGTTTCCGCCATTTGAGTTTCTCTTCCGTATGGGCACGGCAATGCAACTCTGCGTCATATTCAATTCAACAACTTCCAATCCTCGTCAAGGTTTTTACTTACTCGCATGCTTTTCTGCGTCGCATTTTTCCCCAGTTTTAACTTACGCGCAAAATTTTCAGGTAGAAAATGCAAGTACGAAGGCCAATCAGTGGTATGAACTATCTCTCCGTCACAATTTGCGCTTCAATTCTCTAAACCTAACTCCTTCACTTTCGATACGACCATAGATTGATAGTAATTACCAAATACTTTTGCTCTGTTAAAAAAAAAAGTCAAACGGTTAGGGTTTACGTTGGTTTATTTTTGGACAAAACTTATATACAGTGATATATGTAATGCTTGTTATGTTCTCATTACATTTTGAGTTTTACACTGTTAATCTACTTACTAAAGAATTTCATTAAATATGAATATATTTTAGTGAAACTCTAAATTTGATTGGAGAATAACAATAATAGTGTCTATGGTCTTGCTCTTAAGTTTTGCCCTTAGTTTATTAGTTTTTGAAGGGATAAACTAATTTAGTTCTTGAAACATTATGCTCTTTCCTAACTAGTCCTTAAAGGCTGCTAACTAATAAAATCATATAAGTATTATCCTAAAGTATTAGAAATTTTGTGTTTCCGAGTGTTAAAAATTTCTTCTAATTAATCCCCCAAGGTTACAAAAATATGTTAATATAGGGCCTAAATTGATGGATATCCGATACTTTTGGACTGTTTATATACTTTTATTAGTTAAGGAGTATTTAAGAGACAGAGTAATACTTGAGAAACCAAATTGATGTTTTATATTGTGAAAACAGTGGCAGAAAGACTCATGAGGGTGTTTCTTTGTATCTCTTATGTTTATTGCCACAAATGGTGAAAGGTTCAAAGTTAACTCTCATTCTTCCCATCAACTTAGTTTTGATTTCCACTGATGTCACTAAAATCCTGCTCGTTGCGCAATATTCCTGCCTGGGGTACATTTACTTGGGTCGGGCCTAGGGACTAGTGGTATTGTGGGAACTAGATAAAATCATTTGTGATTTGGACTTGTATAGTAATTCTCTAGGTGAAGCTATGTGGACAACTTCTATTTGTCATTGGTGTCTTGTCTAGTAGTACTAGAGTGTCTCTTAGCTATACCTTTTGAAGAAAAAACAAAAAAATGTATATATTTATTTATTTTGAATTTATAAATTGAGGTTGCGCAGAGAGCACTTCCTATACGCATATTATCAGTGGGGAAGAAGCGATCACCTGGACTTCAACTCATGGTTGATGAGTATATTGATAAACTCAGGTACTATTGCAGTGTTGAGGATGTTCAAATACGGACAAATCCTCAAAATGCTCGGTGAGTTCGATTCACTGAGTTACTTTCGTTTGAGCACAGTTTCTATTGTTGTGCTTTTAGTGATCAATTTGAGTTTCAAATTAGTACTGTGAATGTGAGTGTATTTATTTGAGATGGTACCTGCGAGTTTTAGTTACAAATAGTCGTACAGAGGAATTTTTGTTGTCTAATAGAAAGGGTTGGATTATTTGTTTGCCTAACAGTGACCAAAGGGCTCAGGTTGATGCTGAAGATGAGGCAGTGAAGAACCTAATAAGGTCTGATGATTGGGTATAGTCTCCAACATGCTTGATTTTGAATTACAGGAGTAAATAATTTTGTTTTACTTATGTGTTCTTTTAAGTGTGTTCTGTTTTGAGGCAGAGATGAGAAAGTTAGTGCAATAAAGGATTTGCATTGGGTGTTTATAACAAATGTTGTTTGGTGCATGCTTACAAAGTTATAGCATGATTTTGAATTACAGGAGTAAATAATTTTGTTTTACTTATGTGTGCTTTTAAGTGTGTTCTGTTTTGAGGAGATGAGAAAGTTAGTGCAATAAAGGATTTGCATTGGGTGTTTATAACAAATGTTGATCGGTGCATGCTTACAAAGTTATAGCTTATAAGGGTTAAATATCTTTATAGTCTTTAATACTGAAAACATCATTATTTTAGGGACCAAAAACATAACATATTTAAACTAAGTTGTTGTGATGCTTCCATCTGTTCTTTAGTTTCTCTGAATTGTTTGATTTTTTTTCCTTCTTACCCCACTTTTATGAAAGCAAACTGATCTCCATTTGAAGCATTGTTGAATCCTTGCGTAAGCTGTGTAACGTGATTTGTTGTGTTTATATGCTCCCTTGGCTCTCTGTGTCTTGTGGTGATGGAACAACGGTGTCTTGTTAAGCCTGAATGGACGTTAGTGCCAATCATGTATCATTTTTGGTTGCTATTGGTCTTAATGCACTTACCCTTGGTATTGGAACTAAATCGGGTTTTGTTCACACTTTTCTTTCCAGAAAAATTTTCTATCAGACAGATTGCTACCCTCACTTTGAACGCAATACAGACAATCACTTTATCCATAAATATCTATTTCATATGTTGTAATTGCCAAGAATGATATGGTTCCAATTTTTTTCAAACACTGTAGCAGTGGCTACTTTAAATTGTTGCTTGAAAGTCAAAATCCACTTTACGTGCAACTCATATTTTTCATGATATACTGCATGTTTGGGTTAACTTATTTTGAAGAAACAATGTTTACTAGCTTCCCGAGAGCGCATCTGAAAAGTAAGTGATTGCATTGTTGGATTTTCTTTAAACCAAACATGCTAAATCGTGCCAGTTACAGAATTTTAGATCTTTGTTTTATCAGAAAGAATTAGCTTTCCTTCTCTCCTAATTTGTTTTTTTTTTCATGTACCTGCACTAATAGGTTGTCATGTTGGATGAACGTGGGCTAGACATAGGGTCTGAGAAAATGGCAGAGTTGGTGGGCGATGCAGGAAACACTGTAAGAACATTTTGTCATTGATCTCTTTGGAAATTTTTAGAGTATGGGCTTCATTGAGTTTGCTTGTTGGCACTATGTTGAAATAAAGCATCATAAGTTATGAATCATGTCACAGACCCTTGATACCCTGTCTACATCAAGATTGAATACCTCAATTCTGTTCACTGTGTAGACGGGTGGATATATGGGCCAGCTGGCTTTTTCTTTTATTTTGTTAAACTAAAATGTAACACACTAAAACATACCAACATTAAAGTTATTTAAATATTAAAAACATCACATCATTTATATGGTTTGTCTCAATACTCAATAAATAGTCAATACTAACAACACTTCAAACTTTAAATGATAATTACACATCAACTAATCGATATAAACATTGGCATAACATTTGAATCCTTGTTTGATATAGCTTGATCATCTTTCTCAATCTCCATGTTTATTAGGTAAAATTAAATAATAAGTTAATTATGTTTTATTGGAATGTCTCTTGGTGTTTAAGCGTTTGTCTCTGATAGTTTGGGGAACTAGAAAGTTTCTTGGAAGCTTAGGAAATAATGAGCATTAATGTGGGACTCTTTGGTTTCTAGGGAGTAAATGTTTTGGTGTAATAGAGTTTTTGGGAGTGTTTAAATACAGAGATGTAATCCTGTTTTCAGTATGACAAAGAATCAATAAAAGTGAAGTTTCCAAGTTTTTGTGAAATTCTTTGTTATCAAAATGGTATCAGAGCTCTTAGGGAGAGCTTTATTCCTCAGGAGAGTTTGAGTTTTTGGGTTGTTTTTGAGAAGAACTAGGGTTCTTTAAAAGAGGGAGAGCTAAGGGTTTCTCAGGGAGAGCTAAGGTTTTAGTGTTGAGCGTTTAAGTGAGATGGCTAATTTGACGAATGTTGTTGCTCTTGTACCCCGACTGATGAAGGATGTCAGGTATAATAGATGGAGTGCCCAGATGAAGGCTCTCCTCACAGCCCAAGATTGTTGGGAAGTGATAGGGGATGATTATGAAGAATCGGAGACTACAAAAGGGTTGTCGGCTAACGCACACAGAATGTTTAAAGAGAAACGTTTGAAGAATGGTGCAACTCTGTTTTTATTGTTTCGAGTTATAGAAGATTTTGATTTCGAGAAGATTGTTGGAATCAAGTCAGCATCTGGTGCATGGACCGAGCTGGAGAAAGAACATTAAAAAAGATGACCGAGTCATTCGAGTTCGACGTCGGACATTACGAAGCGAGATGAAGAGCATGAAGATGAAGGAGTCGGAAAAAGTTTTCAAATACATCTTGCGTGTTGAAAACATGGCAAAATAACTCATTCACAAAGAAGAAACGTTTTCAACAAAACAAATTCTTGAAAAAGTCTTGAGGTCATTAACAAATGACTTTGAGACCGTAGTGTGCGATAAAACAAGCAAAAAACTTGTCCGAGATGACAATAAAGGAGTTGATCGGTTCCCTTGAAGCCTATGAATATCGAATGAAGAAAAATGAGGACGAAGACATGAGTGTGAAATTGCTCCGGAACGAGGAGAAGATGCTTTATTCCTAGAATAATAGAGGAAGAGAACGTGGTAGTTGGTCCCGAGGTGACTTGGACGAGGTGGTTTCGGTGACCGAGGTGAGGAGGAAGAAGAAAGAGCTCAATAAAACTCGGTGAGTTCGAGTCAAGATGGAGAAGAGCAAAATGTTCAAGTTGAGTCGAGAAGTATTCGGGAGAAGAGTATGAGATCGGAGGACACGTTGAAGGTAAATCATCGATCTCGCTTCACATGCATTTTTGTGGCTTAACTAAGTTGATTCATGATGAAAATCATGATATTGTCCGAGTTTGTGATGCAAGTGAAAGAGATTAAGTAGGACAAGTTGTTGAACTCGCAGCTTGTTGCCAAATCGGAAAGAGACCGAGCTTATGTGCCATCAACTCGTTGTAAGATCGGAAATTGAGAAGGAAGAAATAACCATGAAGAGCGTGATGCTCAGATTGTCGAGCATGGAGGGGAAATTTTGTGAAGGTGTGATGCTCTGAATGCCGAGTATGAACGAGAAAGTTTTTAGAAGCGAGTGGTTGGTACCTAGGCGAGTACCTCACTTAAGAAAGTTTGAAGAGGAGTGGTCGGTAACAAGGCGAGTATCCCATTAAGAAAAATCCGAGTATAGAAAGAGATACAATTTTAGTCTAAGTAGTGAATTCGAAGTGATCTTGTTGGAGCTCTTGTAGACGAGAAGAACCGAGTTGAAGAAGAAAAGGTCCGAATTGTTGTGAATGAGAAGATCCGAGAATAGAATGACATGTTGGTGATGACCAAATATCCAAGGTATGGGTAGTCTATTGGTGAGAAGTAGGTATTCAAGAAGGATGAGGATTCAGACACTCATTGGTATGGAGATGTGGATTATCGGGATAAAGGATGGAAGGAACCCGGAGTGCTCTGGAAGAAGAAGACTTGTAGTCGACTTGTTGGAAGCTTGAAAGTTTGGAGATCAAGATGTTTTGAAGGCCAAAAAGTTTTGAAGTTAGTAATTGGGTGATCGGAATCATGCTGATCACATGTTTTGAAAGCTTAGCCATGAGCTAGCAAGTCTGAAGCTGAGTTTGGGGTGAAGCCAATCTCAAGTTTTTCTTTAATGCTGAGAATCAATTTTATGGTGGGGGGGTTTGTTAGGTAAAATTAAATAATAAGTTAATTAGGTTTTATTGGAATGTCTCTTGGTGTTTAAACGTTTGTCTTCGATAGTTTTGGGAACTAGAAAGTTTCTTGGATGCTTAGGAAATGATGTTATTGATGAGTATTAATGTGAGACTCTTTGGTTTCTAGGGAGTAAATGTTTTGGTGTAATAGAAAGTTTCTGGGAGTGTTTAAATACAAAGATGTAATTCTGTTTTCGGTGTGACAAAGAATCACTAAAAGTGAAGTTTCCAAGTTTTTGTGTGATTCTTTGTTATCAATGTTTTCATCTTATTTTTCTACAACTCATCACAACATAAGTAAGAAATAAATTTGTTAGTTAAATAGATAAATAACAATTAATTTGTTATAAGATACAAGAAAAATAAGATAAAGTTTACCTGTGTTTGTCTATGCATGCCTGTGTTTGCATTTAGGTTTTCGAATTTTTGTTTTTAAATGATGTGTATAAAAAATAATTACTATGTTAGACAGATAATAGGATAGTCCGCGAGCATGCAAATAAAATCAGTAAAGTCCGAGGGCTATACAGGCCAAGTTCAAAAGTCCCATATATTTAGTTGTATATTTTCAAAACAGGCTTGTAATCCGCAGGATTCGTGTATACCCACTCCTAGCTGTTTGATAGTAAAATAATACCATTCATATTTCTGACACTTGACAGTGGCTATATCAACCATTTTGGTGTATTTCTATCTTTCATGACCTTATTTTAAGGTGAATTGACTTATCACTAAAACATTTTAATAGCCACCAGAATTACCAAATCTACTTTTAGTCTTTTTTGTAAACTTCCAGGTCACTTACAGCTTTATACTTTGACTTTTGTTCTGTTGTAAAAAAACCATCTATCTCTCACACAAGCTAAAATACCTTCTCAGTTTTGAACTTTTGAAGTGTGATTTCTAGTCCTGTAATGCAACGCTAGTTTGTATTTAATCTTATTTAGTATTAGATGCTTCTCAAAATATAGCATCTCAATTTAGTGTTTTTATTTTTCCAAGGCATGGATCTTTGTCACTTGTAGACTTTTCTTGGCACTTTATAGAATGTTTACAGATTTACCTGTGTGTGCGGAGATTAGCTTTTTACAGTTTATTGCTTGTTTGAATTTCTGTTTTCAAGTTAAAGTTGTTTTAGATTTATACATTTGTGAACATGGCATCAATGTCCATTCCCTTGTGATTTCCACTCATCTTATAGCTCATTTGTTCCTGTTAATATGAGATAACTTTGAGTAGAATTTATTGTTAAATAAGAATAAATTTCATTGATTTCTGCTTTCTCACAGGGTGCTTCACGGTTATCTTTTTGTATTGGTGGCCCCTATGGTCATGGAAGAAAAATGAGGGACCGGGCTAACATATCAATCAAGTTATCTTCACTTGTGTTAAATCACCAAATAGCATTACTTGTACTCATGGAACAGCTTTACAGGTACCAATAATTTAATCTCTTAATTTCGTATTCTAATCTTTTTAATCTTATAGACTAAAAATGTGCCACTAGGAACCCGTAGTAACAGTTCTATTAGTACCATACTTTCGTCCCATGCTTTTTTAGTTAAAAAAATAATACTCGAGGAACAAGAAAAAGCACTTTTAGATAAGCTAGCTTTCGTTTTCTCAGGAAATCTAAGAACTACTACTTCATAGCTTTTCCTGAATGCTGAAATTTTGACAATTTTTCTTTCTGCCACTACCACCTTTGGGCTTTTGCATAAAAGAAACCCATTCAAAATGGCCCTAACGAGTCTGTTTGAGTAAACTTCGATATAAATACTTCTAATCTTCTAATAGAAGAAAATAAGAACAAAACAAGGATATATTTTTTTTTCACATGTTAAAACTAGTGTGAGTTAGTTAAAAAACAGATTTTGGATAAACTAATAAAAGAGAGTTTTATGAATTAATATGAGAGAAGTTTATTTTATTTATTTTATTTTATTTTCTGAAAATACCTCCGAACATTTCAAATTTGTACAGCTTTTCTTTTCACTTGTATGGATGGTAAAATCCCAAAATTAAATTGAATGTCATTTTCTTTCCCATTTAATGAGTGGCAGAATAAAATATGGGCTTTATAAATTATGTAAATGAATTGATCATATTCATGAGACTATTAGTTGCAAGTCTCTAACACAGTTCTCAATATCTGATTTATAGGTCGTGGACAATTTTAAAAGGACAAAAGTACCACCATTAGATATCCTATCATATGCTGCTTATCTATATGTCTTTTAGGACCGATCGAGCTTTCCTCTGAACCTTTTATCTATTGTCTTCTATTTAACATAATTCCCTTCTTTGAATTTTGGGGTGAAAGGCTGAGTTGTCTTGTTTTGTATAGTTGTGTTTGGTTATTTGAGTGTATATATGAAGTGACGTGAAAAATAGTTAGGTAGTTGTTTTTCTTGTTTAACTTTTTCCATTATTAAAGTGGAAGGGTGTTTCAGTTAGAATTATTCTAAATTTTTTCATAACATCAAACTTGTTACAGTAGAAGAAATTAATTTTGCGTTTAAAGCTATCACATTAGACATTATATTCGTATTTGCTTTGAAAGTTTTCCAAATAGAATATGACATTACTTTTTTAGCAAATGACACTATCCTATTTTGAAAATCTTCTAGACTAAATTTAAACGCCAATGCAACGTCTAAATAAATTACGTGATAGCTTTGAGTAGAAAATTAGTATAGGGTGGTTGCTACCACAACACATAAATGCATAAACCCAGTGCAAAATTATTTATTAAATCTTTAGGTCTTACTCAAACTATTTCTGTTAACATCCCTCACGTGTCAAACGACAAAGGGAATGTTTATTTCCAACAATTGAACACAACCATAAGAAACGGATGATCATTGTAATCAAGGGAGGCTACGGCGCCCAACTTTTTTTCAATCTATGTGTGTATCTATAGTTTTGGTCACTCAATATTAAAATAAATAAGTTAATATATCACAGAAAAAAAACTAGACGAATGTAGGCATGACAACAGGGCAGATTTTGCCTCTTTTATCTCCGTTCCGATTTTTTAACCATTCTCGTCCTACTTTCGATTTCCATCGGGGTTAGAAATTAAGTTTCCGTTCTGCTGAGTTTAGGGTTTCTTGCTTAAATCGCCGTCTACGATCTATATTATTTTTAAAAAGATAATTATATTTATAATAAATTAATTTTACTATCTATTTTTTATATATAAATAAATATTTATAATTTATAATTATTATAAATTAAATATATTTTTTAATTTATTATATTTACATTAAAATATACATGTAAAAGAAATATTTAATTATTTTTTATTTATAATAATAATATTTTTATAACATTGTATTCAAATATTTGGATACTTATAACATTATTATTATAATATCTGTATTCAAATGTTTGATTATATATATAAATTAATTCATTTTTAAGTTGTCATTTAAAAATATAAAATATATAGTTTATAAGGAAATATTTAATAAGTTAATTCTTATTCAATTAGTTCGAAATAATAAAAGTTTAAATTATCAATTCCTTTAATCCTTTAAAATATAATTATTTTATTAAGATAAAATTTGATATATGATAAATAAGAATAATAAGATAAAAAAATATGACATAATAAAACCTAATAAATATAAATTATAAATAAAATAATATTAGTTACTACTAAGATTTATGTAAAATATTTAGAAAAAGATAAAGAATAAAAAAATTAACTTTGTGTTTATCAAATTGGTTGAAAAGATTGAAAAAAAAACAAATTGATGGGAGAGATTAAGGAAATATGAAAAAGCTGAAAGGTAAGAGAGAAAATAATGTAATAAATTAATTGATATAAAAGATTAAAAACAAAAAAATTAAAAAGTGGGTAGAAGAAAAATAAAAATTGGTGAAATATAAAAAAATGACCTTATATGTAATAGAAAAGAAATAAATACTTTTAAAATATTAATATTTTAAAATTTAAATTTAAATATAAAGTCGGGACGAGATCGGGGTGGAGATTGCATTACCCATCCTCGCCCTCACCCTCGCCTCCAACTTTTAAAGCGGGGAAAATCCGAATCCGCCTGCCCCTGGTTAATTCGGGACGGGAACGGGGATGGGTCGGTCCTCGCGAGTCTGCAAGTTTAATTGTCATTCCTAGATGAATGTATTAAATAAGAAATATATTCTCTTTTTTTTTCTACTTTTCATATTTTCTCTCAATAATGTTGATTACAATGTTTTATTCATTTCCTACTTTCAAAATCATCTTTCATCTCTTAACCCCGGAGATTCCATAATTGTAATTATGATTTATTTTTTATAATATTGCATTCTTCTTTTTTTATTCTCGTGTTAAACATTTTTGTCTAATTCTAAGAATAAGGTGGTAATTTAGTTTGATAAGGTAATGATATTTTTTTCTATCAAACTTTCATATATTTTTTTAATTATTATTTAATTTATTATCGATAGTTTATTATTATTTACTTTTATTTTAATTTTGTAGAGGAATATTAGTGGTTTAAAAAAATATTTTTGATTTTTATAAATATTTATGATTCTATAATTAGAAAAATAATCTATTAAATTTCAATTCAAGATTTAATAATTATATTCTTGTGAATTATTTTTTTAACTTAATTTTTTTAAAATATGAAAACAAAAATAGATTTATCTTTCAAAAATTATGAAAGAGAAATAACTTGTTAAAATACAATATAAATTTAACCTCGATTCAAAACATTATATTGATAATCAAATTATTAATTAGCATACTTCCTTCCTAATATTCATAAAATTATAATTAATGAATTCATATTAATTCTCTTTAGAATGTGACCTATGAAATTTAAAAAAATATGAATATTTAATTAATAAAAAAGATAAAATTAGAAGAGACTTATTTAAAATGAGGTACATATTATATACCACTTCAAAACTATCTTTTATTTTTTTAAAGAGAAATATCTTAGAAGATTTTAATATACTTAGTTTAAAATATTTCTTCTTCACTTGCTATTTATTTAGTACAATGTCAAATGGTTATTATGGTTAGATATGTTTACTAGACAAAGATTTAAATCATGGACAATGATTAATAATGCTGGAAAGAATTATGTGTTTGTTAACCACATTGAAGATAATCTTTACTCACCACGTAATAATGTATGTGAAGACTTATTAAATCAATCTAAATACATTAAACAACATTATAAATGATCAAAGTTAAGAAGAATTTTGCATTTTAAGTTTGTGCATTTAGAGGTCAATATATGAAACACTAGAGTTAAGTAACAAACGTAACTTTCTTGAAATTATTAAACTTTCAAAATATATTTCTATTTAAAAAAATTGCAATTTTTTTGGAAAAGTAAGAAATCATATTCGTGAAGAAATTGGAGAATTTAAATTTTGTATAATTATTGATGAAGCCTATGATTTAAAAAAAGTAAATGATTATTGTTTTGAGATTTGTAGATAAAATTGGTTATATAAAAAGAATATTTTTTTTATCTTTTATATAATTTATGTTAAGAATTTGACAATTGACATTATTGAAAGAGAATTGTGTTATTTTTTTTTATAATTTTGATGTTTTCAATATTCATGATCAAGGGTATGGTGACACTAATAATATAAGGGGAGAATGAAATAGATTGCAAATATTATTTTTTTTATAATAATCTTATGCTTATTGAATACATTGTTATCCTCATAGATTATAATTTGTTTTGGTTGCTTTATCAAGAGAAATTATTCTAATTCAATAATTTTTTCAAATTTGGCTTATGTGTTTCTCTATTAAAATTTTCGATAAGTTACAAATGGCTGAAGTAGATGAAATAATTTAATTGTTAGAAATTAGTAAACTTGAAATGGAGAAAGAAAAAATTAAATTAATATTTTAAGCAAGGTGGTGATATTAGGTGAGCTCACATTTCCATTCTATTTGTAATATGATGAAATTGTATGATGCATCTTGTTTGGTTCTTTAAAAATTATAATTGATGGATTAACTTATATTAAAGAGGTGATGCATATGTTGCTTATAATATTTAATTTTTATTTGGGTTCATATTAATTTTACATACGATGAAGATGAGACATGATTGGCTTTGCCAAGGTTAAGCTTTAAAAATCTCATATATATATATATATGAGATTTTTTTGCAAAGCTTAACCATGGCAATCAATAATTCTCATCTTCATCGTATGTAAAATTAATATGAACCCAAATAAAAATTAAATATTATAAGCAACATATGCATCACCTCTTTTAATATAAGTTAATCCATCAATTATAATTTTTTAAAGAACCAAACAAGATGCATCATACAATTTCATCATATTACAAATAGAATGGAAATGTGAGCTCACCTAATATCACCACCTTGCTTTAAAATATTAATTTAATTTTTTTCCTTTCCCATTTCAAGTTTACTAATTTCTAACAATTAAATTATTTCATCTACTTCAGCCATTTGTAACTTATCGAAAATTTTAATAGAGAAACACATAAGCCAAATTTGAAAAAATTATTGAATTAGAATAATTTCTCTTGATAAAGCAACCAAAACAAATTATAATCTATGAGGATAACAATGTATTCAATAAGCATAAGATTATTATAAAAAATAATATTTGCAATCTATTTCATTCTCCCCTTATATTATTAGTGTCACCATACCCTTGATCATGAATATTGAAAACATCAAAATTATAAAAAAAATAACACAATTCTCTTTCAATAATGTCATTGCCAAATTCTTAACATAAATTATATAAAAGATAAAAAAAATATTCTTTTTATATAACCAATTTTATCTACAAATCTCAAAACAATAATCATTTACTTTTTTTAAATCATAGGCTTCATCAATAATTATACAAAATTTAAATTCTCCAATTTCTTCACGAATATGATTTCTTACTTTTCCAAAAAAAATTGCAATTTTTTTAAATAGAAATATATTTTGAAAGTTTAATAATTTCAAGAAAGTTACGTTTGTTACTTAACTCTAGTGTTTCATATATTGACCTCTAAATGCACAAACTTAAAATGCAAAATTCTTCTTAACTTTGATCATTTATAATGTTGTTTAATGTATTTAGATTGATTTAATAAGTCTTCACATACATTATTACGTGGTAAGTAAAGATTATCTCCAATGTGGTTAACAAACACATAATTCTTTCCAGCATTATTAATCATTGTCCATGATTTAAATCTTTGTCTAGTAAACACATCTAACCACAATAACCATTTGACATTGTACT